GAGAGTTTCACTGCATGGCTTGACAAATACCCCGTATGTTATGCTTTATGTTATTATCATGAAATCGCTTCACTTTCACGTCTTCGCCTTCCAATTTAGGCACAAATAATAGTGATTAGTGCTCAGATTCTGTGGTCAGAAGAAGTTGATGGCATCCTAGGCAGCAGCGGTGACTTAGGTGAAACCCTGAAGAGCGTCGAATCCATGCTTAGCGCATTAGCCGATAGCGTCTTGCACGAGCAGCCTCCGATTCGGCGTAGGAAAATTGAGCATCTTGTAAGAGATTTGTGCATATGATAAAACGTTTACCGATGAGTGCGTTATGGTCGTTGTTTCAGATTACGGAATACGTTCATAAGCGTGATGTGACCCGTTTGCTGATTTCACGCAAGGTGACGAGCAACAGGTCTTTCACATGGTTGCAACAGATGCGTCTGTACCTCGACCCTAACGTAGAGGATCCACTTAAGAAGCTGTGCATATGCATGGCGAACGCGCGTTTCAGTTACGGCTTCGAGTACCTCGGCGTTCAGGACAAACTGGTGCAGACACCGCTTACTGACCGATGCTATCTGACGATGACCCAGGCACTGGACGCAAGACTGGGCGGTTCCCCGTTCGGACCTGCCGGCACTGGAAAAACCGAATCCGTCAAGGCGTTGGGCAACCAGCTCGGTCGTTTCGTACTTGTCTTCAACTGCGACGAAAATTTTGACTTTCAAGTAAGCGTTTATATGGGTTATTTGTTTGGTAACTTCATTTTTTAAAATACGCTATGAGTTGTCTTCCAGTGTTGACAGGTCGACACCATTATAAGTACATTTGACCAAGCTTAAACACTGTTAGAGGTTTCGGATGTTGGACACGGATGACATAGGTCATTCATAAAGCAGTTTCATTAAGTTTGCAAAGATTTTGTTTGAATACAGTACTTCCTTTCGTTGCAGCCAGCTAAAAACGGCTGGCACTTGGTTTGTGTAGTAAGTTGCCATTTTCACGCCATTTTAGAACTTAGGAGCAGCATCTTGTACTGTTTAATGCATTCAGTAGGGTTAGACACACATCTTCCCTGAAGGCTAAACACGTGAATGTAATTTAGCTAATTTAGTGTTGAAACTCATAGCCAACGTGTAAATAATATAGAATAAAAAAATATTTATTAAAAATAAAAAGGAGCTTACAAAACACCAGAACTTTGGGACCTTAAACCCTTTATCAGAGTGACAATATTAATGTTCTGTCATTCCCATAGGTTTGCGAATTGGTGTATTTCCATTCATTATCTTATATTTAAGTTATTTTGAATTGCTTGCTGATTCCTATACCCACAAAATGGCATAATCGGCAGGAAATTTATACACCATTTGCAGTTGGTAGAAAGATTTTTATTGGAGTCTGATATTTCAAATGTCACCCATCAAAATGACCTTGAACAGAAATTGACAGAGAACCAGATAACCTTATATTATATATGTGCACACCCACTAAATATTCTTACAATGTGGATCGTCTGGTTCTTCTTCTGTCTGGCTCAAGATTTCTATGAACGTATTAAATGAACAATTAATTAATTGTTAACCGCTATATTGTTATTACACGTAATCAGTTATAAATATCAATAAGTCATTGCTACGTAGCCGTCATGCAGGTGAACGCGCCTGGAACCAGTAGCCTTTTGCTTTCTCGCTCTTTTGCCCGCTGCGCTTGAAGATAGACGGAGGAGCAGTAGAATAGATGGAAAAATTCAGTTACCTAGAGGATGGGTTTACTGCTGGTAGAAAATAGGCGGAATAGGAGTCCGACAGGCGAATCAGGATGGCCAGCGACATTTTGTATAAAATATCCGAAACCGAGGCAGAACTGAGTCTGAGGAGTCAGTTTTCTGTATTCAAGTCAGTTTTCATCCCCATGCTCAAATATGGTAATGAGTCGTGGCCATGACTGAGAAACAGCGATTCGAAGTAAAAGTGGCTAAAATGGGTTTTCTGAGACGAATGGCTGGGCTCACGCATCTTGACATGGCCTAGAGTTCAGAAACTGTCTATTGCCG